GAATGCATCCATTTCTCCCAGATTGTCTAATTTGTTGACCTATAGTTGCTCATAATATATTCTTATAATTGTTTGTATTTCCTGGGTATTGGTTGTGATCTCTCCTCTTTCATTCATGATTTTATTTATTTGGGTCATTTTTCTTTTTGATAAGTCTGGCCAGGGTTTTATCAATCTTATTAATTCTTTCAAAGAACCAGCTCCTAGTTTTGTTGATCTGTTCTACTGTTCCTTTGAAGTCTATTTCATTGATTTCTGTTATAATCTTTATTATTTCTCTTCTGCTGGGCTTAGGCTTTATTTGTTGGTTTTTCTCCAGCTAATTTAGGTGTAAGGTTAGGTTGTATACTTGAGACCTTTCTTGTTTCTTGAAAAAGGCCTGTAGTGCTATATACTTCCCTCTTAGAACTACCTTCGCTACAACCCAAAGATTTTGAACAGTTGTGTTTTCATTTTCATTTGTTTCCATGATTTTTTAAAGTCTTCTTCAATTTCCTGGTTGACCCATTCATTCTTTAGTAGGATGCTCTTTAGCCTCCATGTCTTTGAGTTCTTTTCAAATTTCCACTTGTGATTAAGTTCCACTTTCAAAGCATTGGGTCTGAAAATATGCATGGAATGACCCCTACCTTCGGTACTGGTTGAATCCTGATTTGTGATCCAGTATGTGATCTATTCTGGGGAATGTTCCATGAGCACTTGGGAAGAATGTATATTCTGTTGCTTTAAGATGGAATGTTTTGAATAGATCTGTGAGGTCCAGCTGGTTTAGTGTGTCATTCATACCCTTGTTTCCTTGTTTATCTTCTGCTTGGATATCTGTCCATTACAGTGAGGGGGGCATTAATATCCCCTACTATTATTATTGATGTGTTTCTTTGATTTTGTTATTAATTGGCTTATATAATTGGCTGCTCCCATGTAGGGGCATAAATGTTTACAATTGTTAGATCTTCTTATTGGATAGACCCTTTAATTATAATATAGCATCCTTCCTCATCTTTTATTACAGTCTTCAGTTTAAACTCTACTTTGTCTGATATAAGGATTGCCACCCCAGCTTTCTTTTGATGTTCATTAGCACAATGAATGACTTTCCAGCCCTCACTTTAAATCTGGAGGAGTCTTTGGGTATAAAATGACTCTCCTGCTGATAGCATATCAACGGGTCTTGCTTTTTTATCCAATCTGATACGCTGTGTCTTTTGTTTCGGGCATTTAGCCCATTTACAGAGTAACCATGGAAATATATCAATTTAGTGCTATTGTATTACCTATAAAGTCACTGTTTTTGTATATTGATTCTGTTCCTTTCTGGTCCATGTCACCTTTAAGCTCTCTTGATGTTTAAAAGATCCCCTTTAATATTTCTTGCAGGGCTGGTTTGGTGATCACAAATTCTTTTAGTTTCTGTTTTTCCTGGAAGCTTTTTATCTTTCCTTCTATTTTGAATGACATCCTTGTTGAAAAAAATATTCTTGACTGCATGTTCTTCTCATTTAGCACCCTAAATGTATCATTCCAATCCTTTCTGGCCTGCCAGTTCTCTGTGGATAGGTCTGCTGCTCATCTAATGTTTCTACCCTTGTAGGTTATGAACCTCTTGTCTGGGGCTGCTTTCAGGACATTTTTTGTCTCTGAGATGTGCGAGATTCACTGTTATATACTGAGGTGTTGATCTATTTCTATGATTTTGAAGGGGCTTCCCTGTGTCTGCCGGACTTGAATGTGTGTTTCCTTCCCCAGATTAGGGAAGTTCTCAGCTATAATTTGCTCCAATATACCTTCTGCACCCTCCTCCCTTTCCTCTTCTTCTGAGATCCCAACTATTTTTTTTTTTTTAAATATGGAACGCTTCACGAATTTGCGTGTCATCCTTGCACAGGGGCCATGCTAATCTTCTCTGCATCGTTCCAATTTTAGTATATGTGCTGCCGAAGCGAGCACGAGATCCCAACTATTCTAATATTGTTTTCCTTTATGGTATCACTTATCTCTCAAATTCTCCCCCACGTGATCCAGTAGTTGTTTATCTCTCTTTTTTGCAGCTTGTTTATTCCCTATCATTTTGTCTTCTGTATCACTAATTCTCTCTTCTGCCTCATTTATCCTACCTAAAAAATTTAGCCTCCATTTTTTATTGCATGTCATTAATAGCGTTTTTTATTTTTGACTTATTAGATTTTAGACTCCTTTTTTCTCCAGAAAGGGATTCTCTCGTGTCTTCTATGCTTTTTTCAAGCCCAATTAGTATAATCGTTATTTTGAACTCTAGCTCTGACATCTTACTTATTATATCCATACTGATTAGGTTCTTGGTGGTCAGTACTGCCTCTTATTCTCTTTTTGGAGCTGAGTTTTTCTGTCTTGTCATTCCTGCAGAAAGTGTTCACTTTTCTATTTGTAGAATCTAGCAAGTCTTTTCATAGATCTCTACTCGAGTTCGCAGGTGTTCAGAATGAGAAGGGCTCCTACTTCTCACCATCTTGGACTCCTCACAAATGTGATCTTTTGATACTGTATAATGGATTATGTGTCAACATCTAGAAGATCTCCATAACTCGGTGGACCAGTTTTCCCCAAAAGAACAATAACTTATGTCACAAAATCATGTTTGGGTGAAAGATCTAATCAAAGTGCAAGAAACACTAGTGGGTTTTAATGTAACAGAGTACGAAAGATTCACGGACATGGTTTGAGGTCAATCCACATTGCAACCCATCTTTAAGAAACAGCCACTTGTCAAATATCAAAGAAGAAAATCCACAATTATCTAAGAAGACCATGAAAACGCTCCTCCCTTTTCCATCTGTACATGTACATGAAACTGGATTTCTTCATATGCTTTAAACAAAACAAAATATAGCAACATATGGAATGCAGACACAGATGTGAGCATCCAGCTGTATTTTGTTAAGCCATACATGAATGAGAGTTAGAAAAGTGTAAAGCAAATGCAAAAAAAATGGTTTTCTTTTGCTTTTTAAAGTATAGCAACTTTTTACTAAAAATATTAACACGTAATGTCTTTATTACTATTATTTTAACTGAACTGATAAATATTAAACTTCTCAATTTTGATTTCTATACAGTTAATAGAGATAATATAGTTCACATAAACAAAGGGAGTGTTCTGTCCAAAATAAAAATATAATCATATCACCTCCTTGATTAAAATCTTTTAAAACCCCTCTTAGTTTTCAGAATAGAAATCCAAACACCTCACTTAAAATGGCTCATCAAATGTCTGATTTAACAGTATCTTCCCAAAACTTAATATGCAAAACTATTTTACTTCAGGAATTCTAGAAAGTTACTCCTGACAAAAGAGTGCACATCTGTGTTCAGGGATGTTCACTACAGAATTACCACAATATCAGAAATATAAATGGAATCTAAACATGCAACAGTAGAATCTAATTAAACATATCATGGTATAGTCATAGGCAAGTTGTAGAAAAACACATACAGTAGAATCCCAATCTGTAAGAAGGTTGGTAAATATGGGTCTTTGGGGGTGTGCCTAGTAAATTTCTGGAATGAAAGACATCAAAATGCCAATGAAAGCTAGTTTAGAAATTAGAAACCTTTTTCTTTGAAGAGTTTAACGGTTTTGCTTTTACATTTAGCACTTCAATATATGTGAAAATTATTTTATATGTGATATGAGATAAGAGGCCTAATTTCTTTCTAATTAAACAGCCAATTGCCATAAGACTTATGTTAAATGGTCAATCCTTTCCTCGCAGACTTGAAATGCTACTTTTATCCTATTAAACTCCTTATATACACATGGTACTGATAAAGGAGGAAATTCTGTTCCACTAAATTTATTCTGTTCCAGTGTCAGCACCAGATACCCTAAATAAATATGATATTTATAATATGTTTTGATATTGGGAAGGTCAAATCCCCCGCATTATTCTTTTTCAAAACACTTTTGGCTGCTTTTGCATTAATATTTCTCTAGATGAACTTTAGAATCAGTGTGTTTAATTCCAAAACTATATTAAATGTATGCATTAGTTTAGGGAAACTTGATATTACTTATTTTTATTATTTATTATTATTATTTTTTAAAATTTTATTTATTTATTTGAGAGAGAAAGAGTGAGAGAGAGCATGAGAGAGGGGAAGATCAGAGGGAGAAGCAGACTCCCCAAAGAGCTGGGAGCCCAATGTGGAACTCGATCCTGAAGTCTGGGATCATGACCTGAGCCGAAGGCAGTCGCTCAACCAACTGAGCCACCCAGGCACCCTATTATTTATTATTCTTTTTTATTAAAGTACAGTTGACACTCAGCATTATATTAGTTTCAAGCATATAACATAGTATCTCACAACTCTATGTTATGCTACACTCAGCAGAAGTGTAGCTACCCTCTGTCATCAAAAAAAGGGAACCATGATTTTAATAAAATTGATTCTCTCTATTGAGGATTATGACATGCTTCTATTTATTCTTTCTTCCTGTTCTTCAGGAATAAATTTCTTGTTGTTTAGAGCTAAGTTTATACCATGTAGTTCCATTTTTATTATTATTATAGAAACAATATCCTTTTTCCATTGTATTTTAAGACTGATACTGCTGGCCTTTAAGAAAGCTACTGATTTCTATATACTTAAATCTGGTCACCTTCCAGAAACCAAGTATGGAACTTCACATAGTTCTGGAAGTGAAGTACGGAACTTCACCTGACTTGGCTTAGGATCCCGTGTACCAACAAAGGCCATGTGATAAAATAATATAGCTGAAAAGTGCAATGAAATAAAACCAGGCTGTTCTTCATTCACACTGCATTCAGTTCTGGATAAAGAGAGCTGTGAGTATGTAAGGCACAGAGCCAGAAAGTATAGGGGAAATGGGCTGGTGGCAATAGGACCACTCATCTCTGTCAGCCTCTATCATCTATCAGATTGTGTAAAAAGGACACCAGATGTCACAGTATTACAAAGTATAAAAGAAAGCAATTGGAATCAATGTTAGAAATATACATTACCTCCTCAGGAACTCCCAACTCGCTTAGCTGGGATTCTCTTAAAGAACCCTCCAAATAAGTTTTTTCCCAACGGACCATAGTTTTCAATAGCAATCGGGGAATAAATGGTTCCCTGTGTTTAAGAATAAAAAAAGAACAAAATGAAGTACATAAAACTAAATTTTAAAATCACAAAGACATCAAGGCAGTCATCAACCAACACCAAAACAGTGGCTTAATAGAAAAGTCAACATTTCTAATATTAATTTTTCTCAATATCATCAAGGAAGTACAGTTAACCACGATTACAAGTGGATTATATGAATGTTCATCTTGTGAACTCTTCTCCCTGAATAACCAGCTAAGCCCTGTATTTTTCCTGAAAAGATGTGTTCTCTAAAAACATAATTCAAAGAAAAGATCAGAGAGGCACTTAAGTGGGAAAAGGGGGATAGAGGAGTCTATTCTGTTTTCCACCAGGCTTCTCTGACTTGTAACAGAAGCCTGGGCTGTGGTTATGTGAGACATGGAAAATACAATGGTTTCATGGGTTTTCATTATGGTAAAGCCACAGATAAAATATTGAATCCAATATAAATAAATAAAATTTCAATTGTTTGGGAATTCTTTGATTTGGCTTTTACTAGTTTTCAAGTATGTTCCCGAGACATTTTCTCTTCACTTCGAATCAGTCTTTAACTTGAATTACACCTTAGTTTTTTCTCTCTCTCCTAAAGAAGCATTAATGATAAACCAAGAAATAACAACATAATCTGACAAATAATCGTTCTCTAAAGCAGAGGTTCTCAATCTTCATTGTGCATTTGAATTTCCTAGGTGGCTTTTAAAAATACCAACACCTCAACTCCAGAGCAGGGAATCAAGCTTACCTTTCAATATTTTTTAAACGTTTCCTAGATAATTCTAAGATACTGTCAAGACTGAGAATCATTGGCTTCCTTTCACCTGCTTGACAGTCTAGTCGTAAATCGAAGCCTAAGTCTCTCCAATTTTACCTATTTTTAAAAGCCTGTGTTTCCTAGTATGCATGCATATGAACAAATACCTCCATCGACAACACAAAGTGAATCAGAAAAGCACAATTTGTCAACAGCGTTCGTATGGAACGTTTACCTACAGGGGCAACACAGTTGATCCTTACTCCACTGCTAGCCCATTCCACAGCCAAGGACTTGGTGAGGTTGTAAACCCCTGCTCTAGCGGCTCCAGAATGCCTTTAAAAGACAAAGCATAACAATTCCAATCAGCTTCCACAGAATGTTTCTCTCGTTAACTCAAGTGACAGGTATGTCAGTGGCCTGTCAGATCCCCACAGATATGTTCTTGTTGAGCTGTTTTTTGGAGTCTTTGTATGAACAGTGGGAAAGAACTGGGTCCTTTAACAGTAAAGCCAAAACACAGGTATCTGATAGTCAATTGTGTGTGACCAGCCCACACAAGATCCTTCAAAAACTCCATGACCATAAGAGAAATATTTTGAAGATCTTTTATTATGTAGAAAAATTAACAGATTGGTTATTTTGGGAGTTACAAGTGTGGTTATCTTTTAAATCAATTTTAGATGACAAGGCATAAGAAATTCATATATTGGGCTAAAAATAGTATCAGTAGACTTTCTAAACACACCCAAATTTAAGTAAATTTTAATATATTTTCAGATAGAAAGTTCAAAATAGTTAGGTCTGCATGGATATGGCGTCTTATGCACATGGTACACTGTGGCTTGGAATTTCTAATTATAAGGTCCTCTGACCTTAAAACATCCTCTGACCAAGTATGTCAAATCTGGGGGCATATCCACTTCTCACTAGAGAGGACCTACAGAGCCCAACCTCTTTGGAGAAAACCCATCTCTGTCCCAGTGTTGGCCACAGTAACCTTAGTGGGACTCCAGGCAGAAGACAACCACTTTGTCAGAATTACCCAAGCGATCCCATCACCATCAGGTATGGCCACAACGTCTGTAGCTACTGCATCCAGCAGTCCTGGGTCTATCTATAGGACATGTTCCCTTGCCCTGCCTACCACCCCCAATGCTAAGAGCGGCCCAAAATCAACACTCAGCTGGAAGGATAATGGAAATTTCCAGGCCTCTCCACAACGCCAGAAGTAAGAGGCAGGGGCAGGAATAAACATGCTTACGTAGAAATGCAATCAAGCCCTGGGTCTTTTCTGTGAGGGGGACCTAGAGGTGTTTGTCCCCTTGCACTCAGTGCCCTGATCACCAGGGCCACCACATGAGGTCCTGCCTCTCATCATAGGAAAAACCTCAGCAGTTATGTTGACCCCCTGAAGAAGAAGCAAGTGGCAGACGTTCAGAAGCTGGTGTAACTGCCCAAGAGAGACAGCCACTAGAACTGAGAGACAGGTGGAAAACCAGAGACAGAAGTTACTGAATTTCAGCATCTGAACCAGTTTGTTATACGTAAGCAAGAGTCAGATACAGGGCAACAGAATATGCCACTCCAAAATATGACAGTAGGAACTCAGGACATGCCACCCAAAATACACAGCTTTGAAATATTATTTTGAGCTGTAGGCACTTGAAAAATAGCAAATACAGGGAGAAGCTTTCTCTGAACTCCCCTTATCTGCCTAAATATAGACTGGGTTCCCCCCAAAGGAGCTCGATTACCATAAATCCCCTCCCCAAGGGTTTCATCACCCAGGGAAGACTGCCTGCGGTCACAGTTGTATAAAGACTAGAAGTTGACATCACACCCAGACACACTCTGTCACAAGCTACCATACCTCCCACCTATTTTTCTAAGGGGCCCACACATCTTTTATAAAAACCATTTACTCTCCTCTACAAGGCCTCCATCTTTCCTCCCCTGTCTTTACTGAGATAGTGGTTCAGTCTGAGCTCTAAGCCACTCTTGGAAGCTACTCATTTCTCCCTGGGTATCTCCCGCATACACATGATTTAAACATATGAATAAAGTTGTTTTTCTTGTTAATTTGTCTCTTATTGCAGGGGTCTCTACTAAGAACTCAGAACACTAGAGGGAAAATTCTTTTTCCTCCCCTACACAGTTTTCTCAAGCTTCACAGATGAAGAGAAGGACATTCAGTAGAAACTTAACACAAACATAACAACATGTTGAGATTACATTTCCATACTCAACGATCTACCAGAGAAGGTGACAGAAAAGGGTGTGACGTCAGAAGTGAAACTGCTGATGGATGTCAAGGGCATCTGCAACAGGGGAGCCTGAGGCCCATGCTCTCCATCCTTTCCAGTTAAGGAGAGAAGGATGCAGTTTTCCTCCATGATATTCAGATCTCATAAAAGTGATACAAGGACTGAAAGAAGTTACTCTGGATCCCAAAACAGCACATCCTAATCTGCTTCTCTCTGAGGATAAACAACAACAACAAACACCAAAACCCAGAAAAAACTTTGACAACTGTGAAGAAAAAAGCAGAGAGTTCATTCAAATCCAGAGAGACTTAGAGTTTATCCAGTCCTGTGTTCTGAAAGACTTGATTCTGGTGGGCATTCCTGGGAGGTCCAGGTGGATGAGATGCCTGAATGGGCCATGGCGGTTTGTGAAGATTCCCTTTCCAGGAAGAGAAAGTGGTTCCCATTGGAACAAAACAGATACTGGACAATTCAGCTTCGGAGTGATGACTATGTCACATTAAGTTCTGCCTTAGTCACTCTTCTTCTAAAGGAAAACCCCAGAGGGACAGACATTTAGTTGAACTATGAGTTGACTGAGATTATATGTTACCATTTCCATGACAGGTCTCACAGCTGTTCTTTCAATGACCAATTATCTGAAGGATGAAGGCCTCGTTTCTATATCAGATATGATTTAAAATCTCTTACAATCTATACTGGAACAGACTGTGAGTGATAAACTGTCTTGAAGGTTCTCACAATGCCTCACTGTCTTCCTCTAATTTATAATAGGAAGCAGAAGGATGCATGACTCTCAATGAATATAGCACCAACCAATTTTTTTCAATGCTTCTACAACTTAAATACATAATACCATACAGTATACACTCTTTTTCATCAGGCTTCTTTCACTCAGAATAATTATTTTGAGGGAGGAGAAAAGATGGTAGAGTAGGGAACCCTATTTTAACCGGTCCCCTGAATTGAGCTGGCTATCTACCAGATCATTCTGAACACCCAAGAAATCACCCTCGGATGGAAGAAGATATATCTGGATCTCTACAAACAGCTTATCTGCAGTGGATGGTCTCGAGGTATGAAGTGGGAAGCCGTGATTCTGCAGGCAGATACCGGAAGATAAACGGATGGGGGAGGAAACCTCCATAATCTTGAACCAGGAAGGCAAAAGCCTCCCACACTGGGGACCAAGTACCGACTCACAGACTGGTAGCCACGGGGGACATTAGGGCAGCCTACCAGACTGAAACCTGGAGCTAGAGGGGTACATGTGTGAACTGGGGCACAGCTTGTGGTTTTAGAAGCACAATGGGCAGAGAGTCTGGCCCTGGGAGTGAGGGCTGGGAGTGCTGCTGTGCAGCCTGCGATGCAGGACGCTGCAGTTTTTAGCAGCACAGACAGAAAGAGAGACAGTGTGGCCTGGAGAGCTCAGTGAAGAGCAGACTGCAATCTCATTGTTCTGGGACAAAGGTTTGGATATGGTCACTTCTGTTCTGACTTTCAGAAGAGACGCATAAAGCCACCAGAGAACCAAAGCCCCTCTTCCCCCAAACCAGCTTTCACTGAGCCCATCTCCCTACCCCAACAGGGGGCAGGGCAACTCTGCCCAAACAGGGTTGCCTCAGTAAGAGTGCAGCAGGCCCCTACCCCAGAAGATAGGCTGGAAGAACAAGAAGCGGACAACCCTAAGTTCCCTATAAAGCCGTGCATCTTGCTTGGGTTGTGGTCATTAATTTGTACTCTGTAGATTCCCTCAACCATCCCTCAAAAGAATGACTAAGAGAAGGAACCCCCAACAAAGGAAAGAATCAGAGAATATGGCCTCTGCCAAAGAACTAATAGATATGGATATAACCAAGATGTCAAAAATAGACTTCAGAGTAACAATTACAAGGCGAAATCTAGACTTGAGAAAAATATTAACAACAATATAGAATCGCTAAGGGCAAAAATGAAATCGAATCAGGCCAAACTTAAAAATGCTAAGAATGAAATGCAGTCTAAACTGGATAGCCTGACTGCCAGGGTAAACAAGAAGAATGAATTAGTGAGCTAGAGGATAAGATGATAGAAAAGAAGGAAACTGAGACAGGATGGGAAAAACAAGTTAAAGCCTAAGGAATCAAACTGAGAGAGATTAGCGACTCAATGAAACATTCCAATATCAGAATTATTGGGATCCCTGAGGGGGTGGAGAGCGAGTGAGCGAGCGACCGAGAGAGAGAGATCTAGAAGATATATTTGAGCAAACTGCATCTGAGAAGTTCCCTAATCTGGGGAAGGAAATAAGCATTTAAATCCAAGAGGCAGAGAGGACCCAAGATCAATGAGAACAGACCAATGCCCCAGCATACAATAGTACCATTTGCAAATCCTAGATCCAAGGAAACAATCTTGAAAGTGGCAAGGGGGAAGAGATTTCTTATGTACAGAGAGAGGAACATCAGAATAATGTCAGACCTGTCCACAGAGACCTGGCAAGCCAAAAAGGCAAGACATATTCAGGGTACTAAATGAGAAGAACATGCATGCAAGGATACTTTATCCAGCAAGGCTGTCATTCAGAATGGATGGAGAGACAAAGAGCTTCCAAGAACAGCAGAAACTGAAAGAATATATGACCACAAAGCCAGCCCTATAAGAAATATTAAGGGGGGGTTCTATAAAAGGAGAAAAAACCCAACAGTGATATAAAAACAGGAATTTACAGAGGCAATCTAGAGAAAAAAGCTTCACAGGCAACATGACAATAAACTCCTATCTTCCAATAATCACTCTTAACATGAATGGCCTATACGTTCCCATGAAATGGCACAGGGTTGCAGACTGGATAAAAAGACATGACCCATACCTATGCTCTCTACAAGAGACTCATTTTGAACCTAAAGATACATCTAGACTGTAGGTGAAGGGATAGAGAAACATTTTTCATACCAACAGACCTCAAGAGAAAGCTGGGGTAGCAATTCTCCTATCAGAAAAATTAGATTTTAAGCTAAAGACTGTAGTTAGAGATACAGAAGGACACTATATCATTCTTAAAGCGTCGGTCCAACAAGAGGATCTAAC